ATCCATTTGGGGAGTTTCGGGATCATCTGATACAGAGCTGTGATCAATGTGTAATTACTCGCATGTATGCTACCTTTGGCGATGTAATGTCAATTCTCATAAATTACAGGCCAGATACTCGTATATCGTGTTTCTCATCCATATTTCCAAATCTTCCATGTAATGCTAGTTGTTGTCATGCCAAACCAAAAGCCAGAAGCCATTCTGTTTCCTAAAGGGTCCTAATATGGCGAATCATGTTCAATGCCAGGTTCAAAACAGAATCCAAACGCCAAACGCTATGCATAAACCAGTCATTCCTGTTGCCAAACCTGGTCGTCGTAAAATCGCACCGCTGTCATCCTCTTTCATCCTCTTTCCATCCTCTTTGGCATTGTTGTTGCTGGTTCCTGTTGCAACAGGTAATTCGTCAGACGCTGTTGCTTTCGCCTCGATGGTGGTTACAGTTGAAGCCCCGAAGGGGAACTTTACTGTTATTGTACCAATGATGATACCGTTGGGCCCGATCGTGATGGTTTCACCACCGGCCTCTTTTGCTGTACTCTTGGCACCAGGCCCGGCAGTGAAGGTCGTTTCATCGATGATCGCGTATGAAGGGTTGACTTTGGTGATGGTCGCTCCACCAACAATTCGATATTTAGTGTCAGTGAGCTCAGCGTCAGACCCGCCTAGAGTTGTTCCATCAACAACAACACCTTCTGGTCCAACAGTGACAGTGTCGTCATCGATTTTTTCCGTTATCACGGGGGTGCCAGTTCCATATGTCAGAGTCGTAGAATGAAAGACAAACAGAGATTTTCCAACTGCGGTGACCATCTCACCACCTTCAATTATCACGTCTGTCTGAGGGCCACCGACCCCATGGTATGTGAGTGTTTCATCATCAATCACCACGCTACCAGGCGCAATGGAAACTTGTCGCTCCTCCACAATAGTATTGGATCCGACGACAGGAACCTTAAGCCTTGTGGTCGTGCCCACAAGAGGAATTTTGAGCCTCGTGCCGCCAACAATAGCTTCCGTGCCCGAGACAGTAACAGGTATATTTCCAATAGTCGCACTTGTAGGGCTGACAACGGAAATCACAGTACCGACAGGCTGCGGTTTCCTAACTGTTGCTCCCTCACCAACCACTTCTGTTGGGCGAATTGTAAATGTTCCATAATCGACAGTGACTGTCGTAGTTTGATCTGCTCTGAGACTGGAGAAGGTCTTGTCATTGACAATGACTTCTTGGCCTCTGGCAGTCACAAAAAATTTCCTAGGGGGTTCAGGTTCGGTGTCAGGCCGTGATTGGGGCTGTGGACCCCCTGACGGCTCGGTTTCTGGCTGCGGTCCTGATGTTGGTCTCGGTCCAGATTCTGCCGAAGGTCGCGGCTTCACGTCCGGTTGTGGGCCCGACTGAGGACTCGACTTTCCGTGCCCCCCGGAAGAATTTGGGTGATTTGAGCCTGGCGCTTTGGAAGGCTGCGGCAGTTGCTTGTTACTCACAGGGAGACCTCCTCCACCAGTCGGTCGGTCGAAGTGCGGCGGCGGTTCTGTGGGGAATACCACAGCCGGATTCTTGTCAGTCGTTATGAAAGTAACAGTCATTCTCGAGCTTGACATAGTTAAACCTGGCACTCCAGGAACGGCTGTTGGATTCGACCAACCAGGAGGCTTTTCTGAAGCACAAGATTTCCCCGGTAAGCATGCTTGAGGGGGCTCCTTAGTTAATCCAGAGCCTGGCAATGGGAATGTTCCAGACTCTTCGGAGCCATGAGATGGAACAATCTTTGAGAATGATGGGCTTGGAGCCTCTGGGTCGCAAACGTTGGGAGTACTGATAGTAGGGTAGGGTGGCGTGTAATCACTGCGGTTTCCAAAGAAGGTTATCGTTGATGTATACACAATGGAATACTCGGTGAAAGGTTCGTTATCCTGCAATGTCGTGCACGGCAACACTGACGTTGGTGCTATCAGCGTCAATGTACCAGACGTCCATGGTCCAGGCGTGTAAGTCCCATTTCCCTTCGAAGTAACCGAGGGAATCCATCCGCAGGGAGACTTGTAGCCAGGCCCACATGTCCGCGTTTCCAGTTTGGTACTGTTGGGCACGGCTTGTGTAAAAGAATGTGCAAATCCCTGGTTTGGTCTCCTTTGAGCCGAAGCCTGGAGATCGGCTTGATTTGCTACAGAGCTTGAATCTCTATTGTGATCTGGCGGGTTTCCATTCACCAGAGCAGCAGATTGGGGAGCGGTCTGGACGAAATGTGAAGCTGAAGGTTCCGAGAAAGATCGAAGATGAGTTTCTAGAGTGATTCGAGTGCTCTGAGATGAAGTGGCCACACGATCCAACTGTGAAGTGATTGCCACTCTCTCAGCAGAATCATCGGAGCTTGTCTCTGCTGCCGTTTGAAAGAAAGCCTCTGTAGAAGATGCTTTGTCAGGAAGAGAGGAAAATTCCTCTTCCACTTGTGTTATTGGGGTTGATGCTATCGATAATAAGCGAGTGGTACTGCCGTCTGGGGCAGTCGCGATGGCCGTTTCATTCAGTGGAAAGCGCCGAGGCTGATTAGGTTCGGATGGGGCTGATAGGCAAGGTAATCTTTAGCCACGATTCTTCTCTTCCGTCTCTTCATCTTTCAAGGGACATGCACAATAATTAACACTGATGGGACAATTCGCAGGCTTACCTCGAGGTACAGCAACGCCGACAATAGAAGGAACAAGGGTTGCGACTGAGAGCAGCCCAATAGCTTGCGCCCTCATATTGTCGATATAGGACATAGACTGGGTGCTCCGTACTGCATTAACTGTTGCCCTGGTCGTTTCGAGCTCCTTTTGTCTGTCATCCAAGCTCACCAAACCAAATCGACTGGGGCAGGCCTCTAAACGAGTGATTTGGGCCTTGCCTGATAAGTTGGTCTCACATCGGCCACTTATATGGATGGTTCTTCACGCAATGGCCACAACTGCTTTCGACGTTGTCGATAATAACTTAGGGGAGAAAATCAATCACAAGATCGGATGCATGACTGGGGAGGGGCTCAAAGGTTAATGAACCAGCCGCCAGCCTCTAGTTAACAACTGGCTCTAGTGCATGGTGACAAGGGGTTACGTCGTCCAAGGCGTAAGCGCAAGCGAACGAACCATGTAAGTTCAGGTCAACTGGGGCTGCTAATTGACTCGACCCTATTAACTAGCCTCTCAGGGCCTTCCTTTCTTGTATTGTTTCATCCCTGGATCTGACTTTTGTCCTCGCTCCAGTAGAATAGCGCTCCGGAGGACTTTCTTTGGTGGCGGGAGACACACAAACAGCCCTGCCCTTCCATACAGTTATACTGTGTGCTGCATGGACACCCACCACAGGCCCAGAATGCATGTGGCTGATGCCTTCACCCTATGCGAAAACTCACTTGTGAATGCGTCTATCAACTCTGTTCGGCCTGGCCTAGAACATGACACTCCAGAACCTTCATTTCTCCTTGGCATGTCATCACTTATCCATGTTTCACTTCATCTCTTGGACGTACGAAGATCCTAAAAGCAAAAATCGGAAGAGCCAGCGATAATCTGCAGAAGTTAAACTCAGTGTGTTACCACCTCACAAGTCCCAACCTGCCGGGAAACATCCATTTCGGTGGGAACGGTGGGACACTCAAAGTTGCGCAGGTTCAATATAATGTCTCAAGTTACTTCCAGCTGAAATTCAAACAAATGATATCCATTCGGCCTTCCACATGGAGCTGAAAAGAGACACTGGCACATGGAGCTGAAGAAGATGGATTAGAAGCAAAATCTCGGTATTTGCAATTTTCACATCCGACCGGGCAACAACAACTTTCGGGTCCAGTTTTTAAGATCTTCAGGTCATCGGAAATTGCCATTGTGAAATAAGCTCTGGTTTATTGTGCGGATGCCTAGGCACCCTAAACCGTAGCTTAAAATTTCGTTCACATGTTATGCTGACCACACAGAGGGGGCACTCGGTGTAACCAGTTTATGATCGAAGTTGATATTGATGGGACCTGTCAGTATTGATTGATATCGTTCAACCTGCAGCCAGGGTCTTACTAGTCGTGCAACGCTTTCCAGCCACCGACTTGCCGGCGTCAGGGTTCTACGCCGAGTATGTACATATGCTCGCAAGTTCGCAATGTCAGACGGATCGAGGCCCTTTGTTGACAGGGGCAAGGATCGTTTCTAGAATCTCAAAGCCCCAAAATATATTTTGTTTCCCTTCAAAGGTGCCACGATAACACTTCATGATACAATCGAGCAACGTAGAGCAACAGACAGCTAGTCATGGTGCAACAACATCTTGAAGCTCATCAGCATCGGCAAGTTCTAATGGCAATACAACTTGAAAAGACCGGAAGTTCCCCTCGTGGATGCTATGTATTCGAGATGGAACTCCTCGGGATGATAAGGTTGTTCACCTCAGCCAATAATGAACAAATTACCCCTGCGACCTCTTCGGGATGGCCTAGTGAACGCCAAGGAACACTCCGCGCTCCGCACCATAGCTTTGGGGGCCAAGCCAAGCTAGAAATGGCCAAAGCCATGTAACGCTACTCTGTGGCTTTCTTTTCAGTCTAAGGCCACTGAGAAGGGGCACAAGGCCAGAACTCGTTAATCTTCAGTCGCCTCGCCCTGACTACTCCAACAAACTCTCAGTTCCATTGTCACCAAACTCACTGGTTTACGCTCTTATCCGGCCTTGGCATCTTCAACGAATCATTGTTCCGTGCCGGCGTTGAACAATTGTGGCCATCATCAAGAAGGATCGGGCTCCCTGTCGCTCTGCTGTTGTTAGAGGTTAACCGCACTGCGCACCCTTGACTAGACACTGGGATCGTTGTTTGGTGTGAATCGCGACGTTGAATGTGCCGCATTGCGGTCACCTCCACTCTATCGGCTCACGAAATCTCATTTGATGTTTGCTTCGAACCTAGGATGACCTTTCTGGCGAAGGTCCAGAACAACAGGCTTTCTCACATCTCTCTGCCAGACTCGAGATGCTGTCAATCATCCTTGGATCGTACTTCTTTCTCGTGCAAATCGCACAAGCCCGTGATCCTTCACCTGTTCTGTTGCCTTCTGGTGGCTGGTACGTTGTTTGGTCCTTTCTTGTTGCAGTCGATGTTAATACACAAGATAGGACTGGAAGCGATGGCAATTGGTCTACCATCTCATTTTCTCTGGGTTCAAACTCACAGGCCATTGAGGTTCTGGTGAGCACGGCTCTCTCCGAATTCTGGGCCATTGGACCGGGAGGATGTCTACCCAGTATGTTTTCCTCACCTGGTCGTTCGTTCTTCAGCTTGGCTGCTCAAAGCCAAGGAGTCGTTGATACCTTTCTACTCTGGATCTGTTATTAACACTCTAACAGAGGAGCCTCACTGTATTGCCGCTCGCGGAGGCATCTATAACCCTCAAGAATCTAGCGGTTGGAGCCCCCTAGGCACATGGCAGTTAGGGTTAAACTACCTCGGTTACGATGGGAATGGCAACTACGGGCGCGATGTCATCAGCTCGCAAAGCCCTCTCAGTGACGATCCATATACCATGGACGGTGTGCTAATAGCAACCATAAACACGACCAATTACTTGAACGGTCTCTTCGGTTTGGGGATCACACAGAGTAACTTCAATGGCACTGTGGCGGATTCGCCATTGACACAAGCAGTTGGAACGTATGGACTGATTCCAAGTTACAGCTTCGGATATACAGCTGGAGCATACTACAGTATGCTGCCCTTTATGCAACCTCTGTCGTCGAGATCGCTAACATAGCTAGGAAATACACCTGTATCCTTGACTCTTGGAGGCGTCGAAACGCCAAGGTTTAAAAAACATGATAACGTCTTCACACTCAGCCAGGAAGACAACCTGGAGCGCCCTATGGTCCGTGGCATTCAGATCACGCCAGCCGAAGGCCAAGATGTTCCTAGTTCTTGGGAATCTCAACAACCTTTGCTCTCCCAATGGAACTCATCTTTCTTCGCCATCATTGATAGCAGCACCCCCTACCTGTGGCTACCAGACGAGGCCTGCGACCAATTTGCCCAAGCTCTTAACTTGACGTATAACAGTACCTTCGAACTCTACACCATAAGTGACGATCAATATCGTGATTATACAAATGACGCGTCATTTGAACTTACCTTTGTACTTTCAAGCTTTGACGATAACGATAACTTTGGCGACCCTTACAATGTACCAGGTATTGTCAATATTACCATACCTTTGAGAGCCTTTGTGGGCTTGCTGCAATACCCTTTCATGCCTGATACGATTCAATATGGCGATCCCGCAATCCCCTACTTTATGCTACGAAAGGCGAAGAACAGCGGCTCCTACATACTAGGCCGTTCTTTTCTACAGGAGTCCTACCTCATAACCAAGTATGACGAGGGCGTCTTCTCAATCCACCAAGCTCTTTTCCCAGACGAGCCATCGACAAACTCGGAACTGACTGCCATCGAACAGTCTGACAACAGTCCCTATCCTCCACCATATGCAGAGGATGAAGGTGGGCTCTCAGATGGACAGGTAATTGGAATAGGAGTGGGTGTTGGGTTGGGTGTCTTCGTCGTCTGTGCAGCAATCTTGTTTATGTGGTTGTACTTTCGACGCAAGCGCAAGCGAGCAGCCAAAGGAAATAACCCGCCAGCAGAGGATCAGGACCTTACGCCAAATAGCGGATCGCGATCACCCAAATCCCCTTTGGTTATATTGTTTTCGAAAATTCTCGGACGAAAATCCTCGACTCTGCAAGCAGGAGATGGCACCAATGATAGAGAAAAGGTTGCTGAAGCTCCCGATACTCAAATCCACGAGATGTCAGCACCACTTCCAGTAGCAGAACTCGATGGCGACGATGGCATGTCATGGAATGATGACACGGAGATGGGTACCGACAGCACACATAACATGACTGCCTACGAGATAGCCCGGAGGAAATTGGAGAAACAACTCCAGGGACCAGTCCCAACATATACTCCCCCTGCTGATGGGACGGAGATACCCGCAGAGAAAGCGATATACCAACCAGACCCAACAAATGGTCCGCCTGTGGCCCTACAACTATCGCCATCGGCATCTCTAAAAACAACACAACAAGGGGGCACGAATACAAACTCGATACCGCTGCCATCTCCACTGACCCCGGGCTTCGATGCGAATGGCCGTCCCATCGAGGCACCTTCTCCAACTACTATACCAGTATCGCCAACTACCGACAGTATTTCATTACCACAGTCACCCCTTTCTCCCACTTCGGACCACCATACCATTAACTCCATGGCAATGGGCGGAACTCATTCAGACCGTGAACCTCACTCTTCTTCATCGAAGCCATCGAATGAGCTACAACAGCGAGCAGTTCAACGGACACCCATTGATCCCTCAAAGGTTGTATTTCTTGGGGCACTGCCCAAGAACACGCGCTTCTCCCGCCACGCCGCTCCGCAAATTCTATCAGATGAGGACTATCAAGCCACTGATGAGTCCTCACATCGGCACGGCTCTGTTGATACTCTGGGAAGTAACTTCACTGTCGATGAGGAAAGACGAAGCGCAGAAGGATCATCAAGGCGTTTGGATCTAGGTACAAACGGCTCATCCGTGAATGCTATGATAGAAGATCCCCCACAAAGTCCTTCGACAGACCAGTCTGGTATTTCACAAAGCCGAGAGCGCATCAATCCTGGTGAGGATTTGGTTCATGTACCGCAACTGGCTGAAAGACGGTATAGCTGGGAGTAATAAGCTAGTTGCCGCGCGCCGTAATCTCATAATGATCAGGCTAGCAGGAAATTCTGGCTTTGTTGACGAGAAACATGAAAGGAACGGGGTCTACGTTCTGGCCTGGTATCGGCCGTGGACAGCGCGATTTCCAACTGATTTAAGTAGTGCCACAGATTGCCAGAGCCATATCTGGCTCAGACTGGTCAAAACTCTAGTCCATTGAGACTGGCGTAACGTTTTCTTTGTCAAATTTGCATCAGCGAGCGTTATGATTTGTCTTGATATGTCGGTCTCAAATACCAAAGAGAAGGACAGTTCTTATTCAATTTATAATCAAACATATAATGATACGCTTATTATGTGCTCCTGTTATTGTTGTATGCTGGCTTGATGTCTAAAGTATGCACTACCTATATTTTCTACTGAGAATTTCTTACCAGATCTCCTGCCACCATGTCAACGCTGCCAGAATCTTCCTGCGTTCCTCTGTATCCTTTACGTCCTCCGAGAAGGGGTCAAACACTGCCTTCTTAGCCGCATCCGCCATCTTGGTCGAGCCACCACAGACGCAGAATATTCCATTGTTGAGGATTACCTCTTCGATTCTCTTGGCCTCCTCGCGTAGCCTATCCTGAACATATATCTTATTTCGCTGATCACGCGAGAACGCTAAAAATACATTGAGGTGTCCCTCGCGCACGGTGGCGTCAAGCTCTTGCTCGAAGAAATAATCGGCCCCACGGTTGCGGTTCCCAAAGAAGAGATGCATCGGTCCTGGTGAGGGGTGCGTGAGGCGCTCGTGAATAAGGGCGCGTATTGGGGCAAGGCCTGTGCCTGTGGCGATGGCAACTAGAGGCCGTCGGGCATTCTGTAGGCCATGAATGGGTGAGAGGACTGGCTTGCGTGTGACAGCAAGGATGGAGTCCAAGGGAATGTTATCGAGATAACGAGAGCAGAGGCCCTCGCGAGGTTTGCGGAGGACAGTTTTGTATTTGACTAGAGCGACAAGAAGCTCGATACGAGTCTTGTCCTTGTCTGTCGGATGATTTTGATGCTCGCCACCATTGGCAATGCTAAAGTCTCGTCCACGGATAATTGGGAAAATATCGAAGAGACGCTCGGCAGGTAGTTTGACAGATGTGAACTCCTCCAAGACCTCGAGAATAGATCGCCTTGACCTAGTTGCGTAGTCGAAATATTCATCTAGGTACTCAGTCATGGTGAACTCGAGAAGCCGCTCCTTGTGGTCGGAATTGGTGGAGAAGTAAGACATGCTCTTGAGGAATGATCTCCGTGGGATTGCAGTGAAGTCGATATTGTTCAAAAGGAGCTCTCTCAATGTGCATTTGGGGTCTATATAGAGGTTCGTAGGAAGAGATTCGCATAATGAGAGGTCAAGGGTCTTGTCGGCCACCTCTTCCCAGCCCATGAGGGTGATGAGCTTCTGGACGTCTTGAGGGAAGTTTTTCGGGTAGATGGTTAGGCAATCTCCAGGGACGCAAGACAACTTATCTCCATCACGATGTGGAATGTCGAAAGAGATGAGGCGGACATCTTGCCAGTGCTTCTCTGGGGTGAGTCTGTCGTTTCCAACCAAAGTTGCGTTCCAACCGTTAGGGATAGGGAGAGGTGAAGAGGGAGGGAGGTTGGAAATTATCGGAGACGTGTGGCCGTTGCTTATTGAAGAGCTACTGAGAGAACTCTCCAGAGACCATTTAGCGGGAAGAATAACATCATCAGGGATAGGCTCAAGTCCAGTAGGGGGGGGATGGTGTTCAAGTAAGTGGTTGTAGAGTCGCTCACCCCAACGCACAAAACTTCCATCAATACTATCCACAACATTAGCTACTTCACTAGCGATTTATAACGATAATTACTGACCCGTCTGGAAATTGTTCGTCCGCCTCAAAGGGATCAAAGAAAGTTGTAGCACCAAGTTGATCAAGACGCCTGTTGAGCTTGCGAGCTGCCCAATTAAACCTGTACTGTATAAGCTATAGTGAACGACATCGAACACCCTCAATGACTGACTTGACGTAAGTACTATCTCCGAGCCCAAAAGTTGTATACTTGACTGAAGCTAAGCAACCTGGTGGTAGTTTCTTCCGAAGAAGCTTTTTCCAGAAGACCAGTGAGTTATGAGGCATATCTCCTTGGCCAGTGGTTGATATGACGAATAATACGAAGTCAGGCTGAAGCAGTGCATTCTAGTTTAGGGAGTCAGTAATGATGATCAATGAAGGAGCTATATGGCCTACTAAATCTACTGCGTCGAGTTCTTCAACACGACTTTCAAAATGCAGTCTTTGACATATTCGCCCCAACTCTTCTGCCATGTCCTGGGCATTACCCGTCTCGGACCCGTACAGGACGAGCACGCTCCTATCGTGAGCGGCCATAGTGACTGACCGAGAGGTGAGGTATGTAGGCGTTTGGGAGTAAAGAGTACAGATAATTAAGCCGGGGTCCAGTCTCGCAGGTTGAGGTTGTTTAGTGGGATGGTTTGCGTCAGAGTTAGCGCCGGTTAGCGGATGGCCGATGGCGGGGCGAGGAATCTATTGTGCTTCGGGATCTTATCAATCTGGGGACTGATTGATCAATAGGAATGGAATCCCGAATGATACAGCGTTTGTTCACGATGGTCGAGATTGGATGAACATCTTGTTACGCACGGCGTGTGTCATTCAGGGCCATGTTCTACAAAAATATCTATTGTTGTTTGTTCAGAGCCCAAGCAAACTATTCATGGTCAATTGCTGATGCCCATTTGTTACACAAATTTTGATGGATTTTTGCGTAGGTCAATTTATAACATGGACAACAATTTGCATAGCGCTTCTTATGTAAACAATGCTGGGAGTCTATATACGCCTGGCCCAACGTCTTTATTGAAGATTGACAGCAAACCGCAAACCAAAGGAAACATTTCCTAAAACAGTTGTCATGTTCAAACGCATTGACAACGGACAAGTTCTAGAAGAAGAAGCTGTGGAGTAAGGAGCTGGCTTGGCTTTCGGGGACTTGAGAAACACAATCCTAACCCTGGCTTGCAGGGCAGCATTGGATCCGAGCTGCCGGGCATGGAGGGATCATGAGCATGGCAGGTGTGCACTACAAACATGGATGTAAGAATAGAATAGGTAGCTCACCTCTTCTCGTGTAATTATTGGTGGGAGCTGGTAATGATCGATGATGCCCTGGTCATTTGGCTCCCGCCATGTAAAAGGGGCTTGCAAAGGGGGTGAATCGACCCAGTCAGGGGGCTCACTCAGACGTGTGACTCGATAAGCTGTCTAGGTAGGCTGTCAGGCTGTGAAATTATCCAGGGTATGCAATTTCCGCCGTGCAGGCAACCAAGCAACTTCGTGAGCCTATGCTGTGATTATCAGGCAGTTCGAGAATCTTTATCTAGATAGCAAAGGGCGTTGGGGTTTAAAGGAACGAGAAAACTTCCAGACTGCGGTGCTTCGTATGGGGACGCCCAGGATCGGTAGTTTTATATGTTGGACTGTCAATGATAAAGTTATTTGAATAGTAGATTTTGTATTTCTGTATACGAAAGCATTTTAAAACTTATTACCTACGAAGGTAGAAAGATAATATTACTAGTTCTCGAGACTTGGAATTATCTAGATCCTTTCATGTAGTCTAGAGTTTGGAGTACAGAAGACTATATGCATTATAACAACCCGATAACTGCTATAGCTTTGCCAATCTGCTGATTTGTCTATTGTGAACATATATTCTCTTCTATTCACACCAAGCCATGCTAATTCGCTGATGTCGTCCTTGCTCATAAACCTACGCCACTGAGAGGCTAGCAGGCACCCCACTGTTCTTGGCCGTGATATCGATTCATGGATATCAACATGAGCGGTCAGAGTAAAGGAAAGAGATATTCTCTGAACACAACTCGCATTCTTACCATTCTATTATTTTCCTGTTTTTACGCCAGGTATCCTTTAGAAATCAAGGTCATTCATACCATCCGAGAAACTTTCAACTCACTTGCGCCTCAGCTCAAACAAAGCCAACCTTTATTCATATTGACTTTACAATCAAGATAGTAGGTAGCCAACAGAGCATTACCGCACCACTTTAACTACACCGATACTGCACATATACATAGTAGAGTGACGCACATGATCCTTGGCCCGCACCTAGCACCCACACGTCAGGCCCTAATATGAATATCCTGTACATACAGTATTGGCACAATTCATGCATTAAGCAGGTAAAAATATGTGAACAATTCCTTCAAACGGGTGACCCCTTCTCTCTCACTGCTAATTACTGCCAAGATCGTTCATCTTGAACATTCAAACAGCTACTCCGTACCTTTCTCACATGGATCCAGGTAGGAGCGTTTGATACAGGCTCTGGAAACCATTCCCCCGGCCGAAAGCGGTCTCGAAGTGTCCAGGATCTGTAAACACTCAAACGAGAAAGAACCCACAAAACTGAAGCTCTCCCCGAAGCTTTCAGGTATTGAATACCGCCATTCACAGTGGATGATACATGGGCATCTAAACTTCAACGTGGAGTCGTAGCCGCCAACTGATCATGGTTCTCGTACCTTCCTTCGTGACCTGTACTAAGCTTTCCTCCGCTCTTTACGCCTACCGTCGTCCCCCTAGCCCTGGCCACTTTCCACTTTCCACAACTCCTCACCTGCCCACACCCCTGCCCACACCCCCCTTCCTCCTTCCCTCTGTGCCCCCCCAAACCCAAAGGCCAGAAAAATATTTCAGATTCCGCTACCAGTCGCCTTCACTTCCTCCCTTTCTCCTCTCCATCACAACATCAAACACCTGTGTCTCCGCGCAACGCACCGTCGTCTGTCTAATCTCAACCTCGTTTCTAGGGCACGAAGCTACCCTGATCAAACTCCTCCTTATTGCACCAGAGTTCAACCTGTTCAACTCGCAGCCATCGTTTTCGAACGCTCCTCCACCACAGGTCCAAGTTCGAACGTCATAATCAATCTAACCACCAACCTCATCCACCCACCGCCATCATGTCTGCCGCCAACACCACCACCACCACCAACAACAACATGGATGCTGCCGTTAATGACGTCGCAAACACTCTGAGCAATACCTCACTCAACAACAAGCCTGCCGATGACAAGACGGCCGCCAACGAGGCCGCCTCGGCCAGCGCTGCTGAGGGCCGCCGCCTCTACATTGGCAACCTGGCCTATGCGACAACTGAGGGGGAGTTGAAGGACTTCTTCAAGAGCTATCTTGTGTAAGTTCTATCTTCTCTTCATCATCATCTCCCTACCCGACTTCTTTTATCTTTGTCTCGCCATCTGAGTTTTATGCGATGAGTGACTAGCTGGAGACACGTGTCTTTGTCATCGCGATGGGCGCCTTCCCTAGCCATCATATGACGACAAATGATGGCAGGCACGCGTGAAGCCCCTTCCTAATCACGAAGTCTTATATTGGAAATGGGTAGCTACTGTCCTTGCTACTGTCCTTACTACCTGTTGTGGCTCCTAACAGTAGCTACCTCATTGAGTCCACTTCTTCGTCACCAAAGCCGTTGCTCCATACCCCATCATGGATACGTCTTGAGAAGTACTAACATTGTCGCCACTAGTGAGTCTGTCTCGATTCCTAAGAACCCCCGCACCGACCGTCCTGTCGGCTACGCCTTCGTCGACCTGTCCACTCCCACTGAGGCTGAGCGTGCCATTGAGGAGCTCTCCGGCAAGGAGATCCTTGAGCGAAAGGTTTCCGTCCAGCTCGCTCGCAAGCCTGAGCCCGCTGGCGAGAAGTCAGAGGGTGCCAACGGTGAGGGTTCTGGTGCAGAGGGCTCTCGTCGCCGAGCTTCGGGACGTGGCCGCGGACGTGGCCGTGGTCGTGGAGGCCGCACTGCCCGCGCTGGCCGTGTGAGTCATTCTCCAGTTCTATGATTCACGAGTGTTGTACTGACCATACCACAGGAGGGTGCTGAGAAGAAGGAGGGAGAGACTACTGAGGCTGTTGCCGCTACTGAAGAAGCTGCCCCCGCAGCTGCGGCTCCTGCCACCGCTGAGGTTTTACCATTGACCGACATCACAAACAAGATCAACACTGACGCGAACACCAAGACTAAGACTCAAGCTCGCCCCCAGCGTGAGCGCCGTGAGCGGGGCCCTCCCGCTGATGGAATTCCTTCCAAGACCAAGGTCATGGTTGCCAACCTGCCTTACGACCTGACTGAGGATAAGGTGAGAACAGCTGACCTATGTCGTCTCCAATGCAGTCTTCTGACACCATAGTAGCTTATTGAGCTTTTCAAGGCTTATGAGCCTTCTTCCGCCAAGATTGCTCTCCGACCCATCCCCCGATTCATGATCAAGAAGCTTCAGGCTCGTGGCGAGGCTCGTAAGGGCCGAGGCTTTGGCTTTGTTACTCTGGCCTCTGAGGAACTCCAGCAGAAGGCTGTTAACGAGATGAACGGAAAGGAGATTGAGGGCCGTGAGATCGCCGTCAAGGTTGCTATCGACAGCCCTGACAAGACCGACGAGGAACAGCACGAAGGTGATGCTACCAACGGCCAGAAGGAGGCTACCCCTGCTACTGAGGCTACTCCTGCTGCCGCCGCACCCGCCCCTGCTGCTGCTACTGAGGCTGCTACTACTCCTGCCGCTGCCCCAGCTCCCGCTGCCACCAAGACTGAGGCTACCCCCGCCTCTACCACCCCTGCCACTACTGCTTAAGTTATGGCTTGGCACGAATTTCACGGGCATGAACTAGGTATGCCACGATGATAACACTTACGATTTGGTACGCGATTTTCACGAATTTCTCTTACGGTAGATTCTCGCTACAACGATGAAAAGAAAGAATGAGGTATTCGACCTTGCCGGGATCTTGGGGACGTAAGCAAGAGCGAATCGAGCTTTCAATGAATCTCGGGTGGTGTTTACTTATCAGCCTTTATCACTTTTCTCATCAAACACTTAATATTTCCATGATCGGGACACAAAAAAGCTCACATGCCCTCTGTTATCTTGTATTTGTATCACTTTTTCTCCGTCACCCTTCTGCGGGTTGTACACTAGCTTACACCGGAGGCGGCAGGGGGAGAGAAAAGTTTAGCGGTATTATAAAGGGCGTTTTGATGAAGCTGAACGGGCCTGCGTGATTTTTCAGTTGCTTGTATGTGCAAAGTATATTGCTGTAAAGGTGAAAGTATGTAAATTCGTGGTGATGTTTTGTGCTCGACATCATAAGGACGAGACAAGTTGATATGTAGTAGAGTTTACCTTACCCTTGAGGATTGTGGGGATTGGAGGGAAGAGGCGTCGTTGCTGTAGAATACAGGAAGGTTACGGATATGTCAAGTTACCTAATGCGTCGTCAGTGTTTTGGACCATTTGCATGCAGAAGATTGTCGGAGTTGCAAATAAATCAGTTGAAAACTTCAACGTGAAACGTATAGACTGATGCTGGATAATATGCTACGTAGCTCACGTGGCTAAGGGTTCTAGAACTGGCCTCAATGAGGTAGGTATGGATAAAATGCCCCGCCAACCTTAGGTACCTAGATAGCCCCTTAAATGGCCGGGAGCAGTTGGGGCACTTCATGGCAACGAGCGGGAGGAGCTGGCCCCCTGCTCCAGTGCATGAAGCAACTAGCCTTGGGCGCTGAGTGGTGTAAATGTAGAGGCAAGGTACCCTATGGCACTAGCGCCCTCAGATGTCTCCCTTTGTTTCTGTTTCCATTTTCAGATGATTCCAACTCATCATAGAGATCCATTGTACGTACTCCCTACGAAGTTATATCGTGTCCAGCAAACACAGCAGCTGCAACATCCAATATACCTAATCGACGCCCCAGTATCCCGCGATAGCACTGAACCTCTCAGGATGGCATCCAAGGGCATGTGGGAGGTCGATCCCGAGACTCGGTCCAAGGTTCGTCCCTCACAATTCATCCCCTTTCCTACTCATCTAATCTCTCCCCATCCTCTCTGTACTTTACGCTGCAGTCACACATGCTGACGCCGATAATGTTGATAGCTGGCCACCCTCCAGAAGGAATCAAAGAATAATATCTGCTGCGATTGCAATGCGCCTTCTCCCCAGTGGGCGTCTCCCAAGTTTGGCATCTTCATCTGCCTCTCGTGCGCTGGTGTGCATCGAGGCCTTGGAGTCCACATTTCTTTCGTCAGAAGTATTTCAATGGACGCCTTCAAGTCGAGCGAAATCGAACGAATGCGACTGGGCGGCAACGAGGGATGGAGGAACTTCTTTGAAGAGCATGAGCAAACTAAGATGATGGGCATCACATGGGAAGACTCGACTATTGCAGAGCGATACAGTGGTGAGGTCGGTGAGGAGTGGAAGGAGAGACTGAGCTGCAAGGTCGAGGGCCGCGAATATGTCCCTGGTGCGAAGAAGCCTGTGTCTGCGCCCACGAAACCCGCATCGCGAACGGGAACCCCAATGAGTGGTAGCTCGCGCCGCAATGAGAGTCCTGCAGCGGCATCAGGAGGCGGAGGCGGAGGCGGAGGCAAGGTCAAGGTGGACGACCAGTACTTCTCAAGGCTTGGAGCCGATAACGCTGCACGACCAGACCATCTGCCACCTAGCCAGGGAGGAAAATATGCCGGATTTGGAAGTACTCCTGCGCCCAGCTCTTCGGATAACGACCTCAACTTTGGTGATATACAGAAGGACGCTGTCGCGACTCTGACTCGGGGATTCGGCTGGTTCACATCAACAGTCTCAAAGACGGCCAAGACTGTTAATGATGGCTACATTCAGCCCACTGCCAAGCAGGTATGTCACTTTCTTTTTCCAGGCCATTCTGCCTATGTACCTTAACTCGGAGACTTATCTAACACATCACAGTTTGCTGAAGGCGACTTTGCCAAGCAAGCTCAAATGACCGCTTCCGCTTTCGCAAAGCAGGCCCAAGCGGCGGGCAAGAATGCACAGGAGGGTTTCACCAGATTCGTGGAAGGTCCTGAGAACCAGAAAAGTCGAGAAGCCCCCCTGGATGAGAGCAAGAAGAGCTTTTGGGACGAGTTCTCAAATCTGGCTGATCAAAGACAACCCGCCAACAACTCAATCGGCACAAGTGCTATGGGAATGGGCAAGAAGAGCACGGCGGCTCCTCCACCAAAGAAGCAGGATGATGCATGGGACGATTGGTGAGCGGTAGTGTAGTCGTAGTCTTGGCTGTTTCGAAGGATGATTTGTTGGCAATCTAAGGTACCTAGTTGGAGCATTGGAGTATAGGCGTGCCTGTTAAATGAACCAGTCTCTTTACAAAATATCGACTTCTCTCAGATCGCTTGAGCGCCCAAACACAGTTTACCGGCAGACACTTGCTGTCGTCAATGCCGAAGTGACTGAGTAGTCACCCACAACAACAATTTCTTGAGTCCCAGCCCGTCTGTGAGCTGTCGCTGAAATAAAAAAGCAATACTGTGCCGCTCTCGGGCTCTGTCCTGTGACCCCCCCTTTTGTCTACATATTCGTCAACATATACTACAGGTGCACAGTCAGGATAATACTCGAATACAGCACAATACCCGGCGTCATGTACTACGCCCCAAAACACACAAGAACCTTAATATGAAGCCTCAACTGATCACACATTCACTGCCTTGAACCTTGAGAGACAACTAAGCAAGTGGTCTCAATCCACAAGCATAAAGAGGCTGTTTCCCATACAATAACCAACTGCTTAGTGCTTTGCCTTCTGGACATCATTTGCCAGCGTCCCTCCACTACCACCAACTATGGTGCCCAACCCATCAACGCTCCTCTGGGGCGGTCGCTTCACAGGTCGGTACAGCTCTGTCCACTGTTGCAACGTGTGCTGACCGCATCGCCAAGCAGGGCACATGAACGACCTCATGGTTGCGTTCAACGAGTCGCTCCCCTTTGACAAGGCGTTGCACGAGGCCGATATCAGGGGCTCCATCACCTTTGCCAAGGCACTGCGGCAGCTCGACCTGCTCACTGGCGAGGAACTGAGCGAGATCACCAGGGGCCTCGAGGCTGTCGAGAAGGAGTGGGCTGATGGGAAGTTTGTCATCCATCCTGCTGTTGACGAGGACATCCACACGGCCAACGAGCGTCGTCTAGCTGAGCTCATTGGCCCAGCCATCGCTGGTAAACTTCATACAGGCCGCTCCCGCAATGAGCAGATTGCTACCGACATGCGCCTTTGGGTGCGAACGCAGCTAGATGACCTGTCTGAACAACTGCGCACCGCCTTGGCTGTTTGCGTTGTCCGCGCCAAGGCAGAGATCGATATCCTCATGCCCGGCTACACACACTTGCAACGTGCCCAGCCTGTTCGATTTTCCCACTGGTTGCTCTCACACGCTACCTACCTTATGAGTGACCTACAACGACTTCACGGCGTCCGTGAGCGAACCAACTGTTGTCCCCTCGGTGTTGGCGCCCTGGCGGGAAACCCCTTTGGCATCGACCGCACCTTTCTCACCAAAGACCTAGGCTTCTCCTCCGTCCACCCTAATAGTCTGGCAGCAGTGGCGGATCGTGACTTCGTCGCCGAGATTTTGCAGTGGTCGAGTCTGCTGATGGTGCACCTTAGCCGCCTTAGCGAAGACCTGATTATCTATTCAACAGCCGAGTTTGGTTTTATTCGGGTTGCCGATGAGTATAGCACCGGCAGTAGTTTGATGCCGCAGAAGAAGAATCCTGATAGCCTCGAGGCGATTCGAGGAAAGGCTGGGAGGGTTATGGGCCAGGTTCGTCTCCTTTCAGGCCCCGGTGAAAGACTTGAAGGGGGTGTGCCCTGAGCTGACCAACTGTCCAGGCGTCGGGATTTCTTTCCACCTTGAAGAGCCTTCCCACGGCATACAACAAGGACATCCAGGAGTCAGTGGAGCCACTTCTCGACTGCGTTAAGACGGTTTCGCACTGTCTGCGAATCGCCGGCGGTGTCCTAAGCACGCTGCAGATCAACTCGGAGAAGATGAAGGCAGCCCTAACAGCCGACATGCTCGCCACTGATGTCGCCGACTATCTAGTTGTGAAAGGCGTGCCCTTTCGGCAGACGCACCACATCGCCGGCGCCGTTGTGCGCAAAGCAGAGGGGAAGGGTGTCTCTATCGCCGAACTAGAGCTGCCAGACCTTAAACAGATCTCGCCTCTGTTCGAGGCCGACATTGTTGACGTCTTCGACTTCGAGAGGAGTGTTGAGAGGAGGACTGCCCAGGGGGGGACGAGCCGGAGTTCAGTACTAGGCCAAATCTCCGCTATCGAGACCTATCTTGTGGGTAATTAAACCAGACAGCCAACCAAAGATAACTCCTCTATGGATAATCGAGTTGCTTTGTCTTTCGTGCGTGGCTCAAGGTACAAATAGACAGTACGTCCCCGGCCACCCAGCAACGAGATATGTTAGAGTCAGAGGATCGTTGGGAAGATCAATGGGGCATGGTCACAGGAGCAGCACCTACAGTATTTTTCAATCTAGTCGTTAGACCAGTGGTCCCTTGTAGTTGGCTCGAATTCAACCTCTGACGCGTTCTGTGCATGCTGCCTGTTCTCTCGTTAACGGGGCGGCCCGAGCCTTGTTAGTAGCTTCAATATGAGAGATCCGCTCGCAAAGAACAAAACATCGAAGCATGAACGTCATCAATGTTTCCACAGTTTATTGTATCTACCTTGGCACCACTGAACGGCATATCCAAGAGCTAATTGGCCCGTGGGCATCACCAAGAACCACACTTGACAATTCCTGGCTTCCAAATCTGCTTTGCGGCATGCCTGTACTCCCGTGGCTCTATCCTGAGCAAAAGTGACCAGGAATATGATCACGGCTTGACCAAGACATATCATTCGTAGGTCGCCGAAAATGTCCAAGTTGTTCTTGTCAGTAGCGGCAAAGCTGGGGTGTATTGGTTGTTCTTGATAAGCATAGGGCAGGCTTCTTATGGTTCCAAGTAGACAAGTGAAACCAATCAGGTTGATCGACCGATGACCTGAATATATGACCGAGAGGATGGACATAATAACTGCGGTAGCAGCTCCTCTTGGCTCTCCTACTTATTAAGGTATTTAGGACATTAAAACTCCGAGGCCTTCCAATCACCTGGCGGAACCATCTCGGGAAACAGCCCTTTTGATATCATCTTGAATAGAATAGTGTTAGAAGGGTAGTCGGGGAAGACGAGAAGGAAGCTTATGACCTCTGGTAGAGCGTGGCTAAGAAGTATTGTCTTAGACCGAGCCTTGTGTGCGGCGATGGAACTTCCCTTAAGACAGAGTCAAACTGGCCGCCAGAAGGGAATGCTGCTTTGGACCTCACTTGTAGGGAAGTGATGTCTGTGAGATGATACCTTACCAAGAAGTGAGCTAGATTCTCTCAAGAGCCCACTAGGTATTCATAAACGCAGGGTCGCCTTCTCTTGTCTTGAGGTGCATGCATTATCTACTTAGGTAGGATATCTTCTCCATGTTCGTCACTCAGCCCAGATCGCAATCACATAGCATCACGCTCACTGTGTGCATTACATCTGTAAAGCACGTCGGGCCGAGGGCCTGGCAGTTAAACCGTTGTGCGCTGCCAGCACGAACCCCCATATGGACGCTCAGAACCACTAGAATCCTTTGCGTCAGTGCCGCATATGTGCCTGCATCATCAAAGGAACAAGTGATTTGGCTGCGTGGGGCCGTACTGGTGGTAGACCACCGTTCCTTAGTTACATGGCGGGCTCGGCATTTGTGTATAAGTTGCCGGTGGTTTAACACCGCCAATGGCCGATTTCATCAACACCTCCCTCCCCTCTTATACTTATCAGTTCGGTTGTGGTAGAATTTTGTCTAAATGGATAGGGGATAATGATAGAAGAGAAAGACATGATGCCATGAATACACACCGCAAACTTTTAACAGAAATAATATCAATAACACGGGAATGAATCCCGACATCGCTCGTTCAACCGGCGGATCTGTCACGTGGGCCGTCGGCCGAGGTTGTAGCTGAGACCGGCCCTAGCCGGTACCGCGCCGAGCTTTGCCATGACGACTTGGCCGGCCCTCGTGAACGTCTCGCCGCTCTCGACAACTTCAATTTCGCATTGAACAACACCCATACACCATGTCAGCACTGCGGATTCTCGTACCCGTCAAGCGGGTTATCGACTATGCTGTAACGAAGCCGAATCGACAATTGAGAAGCAACGGAACACTGACAATCTTTACAGGTCAAGCCTCGAGTTAACAAGGCCCAAACGGCCGTCGAAACAGCTGGTGTCAAGCACTCAATGAACCCGTTCGATGAGCTGTCTGTCGAAGAGTCAGTGCGTATCCGAGAGAAGAAGCGTTCGCCCGGTGGTGTCGAGGATATCTGCGTTATCTCCGCCGGTCCTCCCAAGGCGCAAGACGTGCTGCGAACAGCCATGGCCATGGGCGCAGACCGAGGAATCCACGTCGAGCTCAAGGATGGAGATGAGCTAGAGCCTCTCACAGTAGCAAAGATCCTGCAGAAGGCCGTGGAACAGCAGAAGAGCAACCTAGTGATTCTGGGCAAGCAGAGCATCGATGACGATGCGGCACAGACCGGCCAAATGCTTGCAGGTCTCCTTGGATGGCCTCAAGCTACACAGGCGAGCAAGATCGAGTTCGGTGCTGGTGATAAGGTCACCGTGACAAAGGAGGTTGACGGTGGTGTTGAGACAGTCAGCGCCAAATTGCCCATGGTCATCACGACAGACCTACGACTCAACGAGCCCCGCTATGCCAGCTTGCCTAATATTATGAAGGCCAAGAAGAAGAAGTTGGAGAAGACAAAGCTTGAGGATTTTGGAGTGGATGGTGTGAAGCGCCTCAAGACACTCAAGGTCATTGGTAAGTTATCGTTCTCTCACATAAAATGTCCCACGGTGCTTTTACTAACACTCCCCCAGAACCACCAGCTCGCCAGGGAGGTGGTAAGGTTGAGGATGTTGGTGGCTTGGTTAGCAAGCTAAAGGAGCTTGGTGCATTGTAAATAAGAAGCAAATAGTGAACATGATAAAGCCGAAGGCCATTAGAATGGATTACCCCCGGATGCAGTATTCTTACTACTATGAACTGTAAAACGAAGATTACAAGAGGCGAGCTTACATCCTATCCTCCAGCTTGCCCGAAGCTCCCATTAAGACGCTCGTGACCCAAAAAAAGAGCTGGAACGACCTTTTACTTTTAATATGTATATATTTTTCTAATTTAAATATTCCCTAATGCTTTTGACTTACACTATTTTATTGGGCCGCCCATTTAGGAGAGGAGGGGAAAGCGTGTGTTACTCTAGAGATGTTATGAGACATGGGTGGTATTGAAAAGGAAGGCATAGCAAGTAATTCCAGAGATTCAAATACAAGCTAATATACCTTGTTGTTTTAATGAATTTATAGGAATGATGTGAGAAGCGACTGATATTCTCCTTTTCCTTGAACTGTTTGTGTTGTAAGTGTGGATGTGAAATATCTTTTGATTACCTAGAGTAATGGAAAGGCAAGATGGTGAGGAAAACAAAAAAAAAAAAAAAAAAAAAACGCAACCTCATTCCAAGGAGTGATGTTTCGATCTCGAAGGGTCCATGTTAAATTAAACGTATTTTCCGTTGTTCCAAGATGTTCCACTTGAAGGCGCTGGGGTGCCATAGAAAAATTAGAACGCAACTTGCACTTATAAGACTGCTCCGTGCGGGTGTCACGTAGGGAGCCTGGGATGTGCCAGGGCTATAATTCGACAAACACGCACGTGAGCAGTTTTCTCTCAGCGATATGAATTTCTGTTAGTACCTGAGTTGAGGCTCAAGAGACTCTATAAAGCATCCATCGTATTGTTACACCAAGACCAAGACTTGCAAGGTTGTCTCATAATTGGATTCCGACTGCCGAACGCCGCGTGCCTGGTAGGGTAGTAGGGCCATCAAGAGCTCCACAATCTCTTATCAGAGCGATCGACAATGCTACGCTAGAAATACTTCTAGCTTGGATTCCATGCTTTGACCGCCAACAGAGGAGAAGACTCAACAATGGCGAATCAAATGACGTCTCAACATTTCCAGAGTTTATCTGGGGACGGTGGATCTTTGTATGGTTTCATTGACAAGGTCGTGCTGGAGCACTTGACTCAGTCGACATGTCTACGTTGGATGAATATGGCATTGAGTGCAAGAGCAATGAGTTGCAGCATTTTGAGACACGATATTCAATGGTTGCAATTTGCCTTCTTCTTTTGGCGATATATGTGGTATGAAGAAACAATAGGCTCAATGATCGGCTCAGGTTGTGCTGTGCTGTGCTGTGCTGTGCTGTGCTGTGCTGGGTTGTGACGTGTAATTGGTGTTGGTCAAGGACTCACACATCGACAAAGAGTCAAAAACGATATCGGAGGTTGAGAGATGCTGCCAAAGGGTTCAGTTCCTGGCAGCGGGGCTCTGATAGCGCCAATAGGCGGAGCGCTCAGCCCGCCCAGCACTGTTTTCTTCGGCGGAAGAGCGGGCTTCTGGTTCCGCCAGGAGGAAATTTGCAGCCAGGAACCCACTCAGCTTGAAAAAACTTGCCAATGACCAAGACCGTGTTGTCAGGTTTCCCTATCGGGGCGGCACCTGCGGAGCGGGATCGCACCTCTCGTCCATCCCATCCTGTCTATGGTTGGATCCTCACTAGAGGTATCCTACCTAAGGTATCTTTTCTTCCCAGCTCCCACCCTCTTGACCCTTTTCTTCTTTTACTTCTCCTCCAACAGAAAGAACTCCTCCAACAGAAAGAAATCCTCGCGATAAATCCACACAATCTTGACCTTCAGACCCTAACTCAACATTCCTGCAACACGATTGCATCTTCTCTTATAACTCTGAACTGAGCTCGTCTCTTTAATCCGCCCACATGCACGGGCGCCCATCCGTCTTCACCTCGCAGGTACGTTCACTCTTTTTTCTCTCTTATTACATCGCGTGTGACATAGGCTCGCTGTATCAACCCCGCCATCACTCAACATATTTTCATCTGTGGCTTTACAACGTGCGTTGTAGGAGCTATAGATGGATGTTTGTCCACCCGATGGCTCCTCTCATCATCACCAAGACTTCCATTGACTTCAATTGGCGCAATGCTAACTCGATTTATAGGATTATCTCTCTGGTTCGTAATCTCCATTGGTTTTGACTCACCACTCGAAACCTTGCCTTGATTAGCCAGAATCCAAAACTAACATATCTACCATTACAGACCACCTCTGGAAGTCCCAGTCTTGCTAAAGAACTTCCTTGATCAACCGACTATTCTCATTCTAAACACAACTTAAACAACCGACATATACCAAAATGTTCTCCCGACTGGCTTCCTTTGCCAAACCCGCGGCCAAGTCCGCGTCGGCTTCTGGCCGAACCATGCTTCAGGTCCGATACCTGTCTGAGAAAGCTGTTGCTGGTAGCAAGGGCAGGACTATGCCCTTCTCTGCTGCTCGAGCTACTGCTCCCGCTGCTTCTCTCCCCGCCACTCTCACGATTCGAGTATGTACTCCTGCAATGGCATCTCACTTGTCGAACCAATCTAATATGCCCATAGGACGGTCCTGTTTTTCAAGGCAAGGCTTTCGGCGCCAATGCCAACATCTCTGGTGAGGCCGTCTTCACCACCTCTCTTGTTGGCTACCCCGAGTCCATGACCGACCCCTCCTACCGAGGCCAGATCCTCGTCTTCACTCAGCCCCTGATTGGCAACTATGGCGTTCCCTCCGCCGTCCGAGACGAGTATAACCTTCTCAAGTACTTCGAGTCCCCCCACGTTCAGTGTGCTGGTATCGTTGTCTCCGATGTCGCTGTCAACTACAGCCATTGGACTGCCGTCGAGAGTCTTGGCGAGTGGTGCGCCCGAGAGGGAGTTCCCGCCATCTCCGGCGTTGATACCCGCGCTATTGTCACCCACCTCCGAGAGCAGGGCTCTTCCCTGGCTAGGATCTCCATTGGAGAAGAGTACGATGCCGACGAGGATGAGGGTTTCGTTGACCCCGGCCAGATCAACCTGGTCAAGCGTGTCACCACCAAGGCTCCCTTCGTTGTCGAGTCTCCCGGTGCTTCTCTCCACGTTGCTCTGATTGACTGCGGTGTCAAGGAGAACATCCTTCGTAGCCTGGTCAGCCGAGGTGCTTCTGTCACAGTCTTCCCCTATGACTACCCCATTCACAAGGTCTCGCAACACTTCGATGGTGTTTTCATCTCCAACGGTCCCGGCGACCCTACCCATTGCCAGGCTACTGTTCACAATCTCGCCCGCCTGATGGAGACTTCCAACATTCCTATTATGGGTATTTGTCTCGGCCATCAGCTTCTGGCTCTTGCTGTCGGTGCTCGCACCATCAAGCTCAAGTATGGTAACCGCGCTCACAACATTCCTGCTCTCGACTTGACCACTGGCTTGTGCCACATCACCAGCCAGAACCACGGATACGCCATCGATGCCAGCACCCTTCCCAGCGACTTCAAGGAATACTTCGTCAACCTCAACGACGGATCCAACGAGGGTATGCTCCACAAGACCCGCCCCATCTTCTCGACCCAGTTCCACCCCGAGGCCAAGGGTGGCCCTATGGACAGCTCTTACCTCTTCGACAAGTACCTCCAGAACGTCCAGCTTGCCAAGAGTAACCAGGTGGTTTTCAAGGATAACCGACCTACACCTCTGATGCTCGATATCATGAGCCGAGAGCGCGTCGGTGTTGAACCCACTCCTCTTGCCGCCACCGCTTAAACGACTAGTGTGAGATGATTTTGGCGTCTGGGATAGGTCGTTGGTAACGTCTGTTAGTTTCTCGGGAGCAAGGATAATGGTTGCTATTTTAATATTGTATTCAGAAACATTGATCTTTAACGGAAAGATTGTGATACCACTACTACACATGAAGCCGCCATGTCATATCTCTGTGTTGAAAAGTTCTGAAGTGAATGACACAAGCAAGTGGCTGCATCCAGCCTTGTAGCGTCTCATTGAATGAAGCTAATGCTCATACACAAAATATGAATTGGATTGAAGCAGTCTTCAGACTTAAAGCGGTGATTATAATTAAAGTTACTCAATTCACAGATGTCTAAACATCTATTGTTTATTTCCTTGCCTTTTTATTGTCTCAACGCCGCCCTCCATATGATACGGCTCCTAATACCATTGTGCACAATGCAAACTTATTAATTTGAATTTCCTATCTTTTCTTCGCACGCCATAGCAAGTCATGCGCACGTAGCCTTCAGTCCCTCATTCGAATGTCGCCGTCGTCAGACAAGGAGCCACGACGAGGTCGGCGGTCGTCCCGTGGCGGGGGGAGATACCGATCACTACGCGGTCGACCGCCGCCACCGCCGCCGCGTCCACGGCGTCTCCCACCACGGCGCTCACGTCCCATGGCTCGCTCGCGGTGTGGAGGTCGGATGCCTTCAAAGATCTCCTTGCCTCGGTCAACGAATGAAGTGCCATTCTCAAATGAGTAGCGATTAATCTCGCGGCCGACATCGCGGTTGCGATCGTTTGTGTAATAAGAGCGCATGTTGTCGATGCGGCGGCGCGCAAGGTCTTCTGATACAGGCTGGTAGTCGATAACTGGGCGAGTGTTGGTGCGCTTGAATGCACCGCCTGGGTTGATGATAGGTGGAGGTCTTGGCCCAGGTCCAGTGCCGGGGCGAACAGGGCGTGGTCCAGTAGGAATGGCAGGGTCTCGGAGTGCTCTGGGTCCAAGAGGGATAGAATTAGTCGCCATCGTCGAGCTTGGGTGTGGTCTTTCGCTCAGTTGAGGCATCGTGCGAGATGTTGATGCTGATGCTTCCTCGAGATGTGCTTCAACATCACCGTTAGGGCCGTCCTCATAAACGATTTCCCATCGAGCACCGGAGCGGCCGCGGGGGCCGCCGCTGGCTTGTTCTGTATCAATCCAGTCCCGGACTTTCTCGGGAGGGACAAAGTCAACCCAGAGCGCTTTGCGATTGCTCTCATTAGGCCAGACACTGCCATGGAGTGCAGTGCGAACGCGGGAAGCAGCAGCGGTGTTCTTGAGGATAACAAAACCATGAGTGCGGATCTGATCCAGAAAGAATTCAGCCACAATCCCGTCGTCATCGTCCGCTGCATCTTGAGACCGTCTCGCAAGCGTGACGAGATGGGCCTTGACATCTTGAGGTCGGAGAGGGCGCATGAAGTTCTTGATATAAAGTGCAGAAGTGGCCGGATGCACCGCCGGCGCGACGTCCCGCTCGTAGTCCATATCCTGCGTTTTATCTCCGTCTTCACCGGATTCTTCTTGTCTGGGTACTTGGGTCTCTAGGGCAGCTTCCTGTGAAGGTTCTTGCTGAGGCTCCTCTGCTTGGGGCTCACTATCCAAGTTCATAGGAGCAGGTTTGTTTTGAGGTTCAGGTAGCAGATCTTCCTGTCGCGCACCTAGATTATCGCCGTTTGCTGAACTCTCTTCCGTGCGGGCGCGTTTGCGAGCAATCGATTCTTCAGTTGGTGGGGGTGTGAGAGAGCGGCGTTTGCGCTTTTGCTGTTCAGCAGCAGGGGTTGGTTCGAGTGAGTGGGAGGGTGTAGATTCGACAGTGGTTGTCACTGTTCCCGCTCTTGATTTCTCGTCCACCGTTGGTTCCCTTGATTGAGCATCTATTTCATTGCCAGGAATTGGCACGTCAGCGACCAGATCGCCATCGTGCGCCGCTTCCTCAATTGCTCCATTCTTGACATCTTCCTCCTTTTCGGTTTCGGGGACCCCTTTATTTGTCTCCCCATCAGCATTGGGCGCGATGCCATCATCCAGCTGTTTCTCTTCTAGCTCCATTATTTCCGCCGTTGGTTTCTCTTCTTCCGGTTCATGCTGCTCGGTCGCTTCCTGGGGTTCGTTGTCTGCAAGGACTGGTTGTTGAGCTGGTGGCTCATTATTTCCCGAGTTGCTGTCTGTAGGCGCATCTTCAAGCTGTTCTTGGGCCTCAGTATTCTCAGTATTCTCAGTTTCTTGATCAGCTTCATCTAATCGCGCGACAAGCTCTGTTTTGAGACCGTGCTGTGGTAGACCGCGACTTTTGAGCTCGGCCTTGAGGTCGACGACTTTGAGCTTGGCCCAGTCAGTCATGATGAAAGCAATTGACGGCGCGTGAACGTCTGACGTGTTTAAACTCGATTCTCATGTGCTCTTCTTTTGCGTTAAAAATGATTGATAATCCCGGAGAGGATCCGAGTCTGAAGGGCGAGAGTAGGTAATGAATCGAAGCACAAGACAGCTTTGATCATCTTCAGTCCCGTCGCGAATCTAAGTGTAAAGGGTTGTTCATCCAATTAAGTGCCACAGTGAAAATATCTTATGTCAGCCATTTTGCTCCACTTTGTGGCGTCGTTGAGCCACACAACTCGAACAGACACAAGATCTTGGCCTAGACATCGTTGTCTAAATTCCTGTTCAACGTGAACGCTGCAAAGTGGAAATACGAAAGCCATGACGGTGTGCATCAAGAATTGGCGGGGTGTTTTTTTTATTTCTTGGTGAGACTTCATGCTTACACGGATCAAGCCAACATGCCCGGTCATTCAAAGGCTAAGTATCAGTAAAGTTATCCTAATGGTCACATGCAGTCTCATGATATGCAGCCGCAAGTGGGCCATGCGTTGCACAGTAGAATACCTAAGTTTAGTAGGTATTCTACCCCTCAAACTGGCGCATTGTGGTTAATGGCGGTTCAAGGTCAACTGTCAGTCATGGTAATGCAATTGAATTGATGACCTCCTGCTTAGGGGCCATGATCAAGACTTGATTGAGTCTATTCAGTTCATCATGACTTCGACTGCTCTCATGTGTTCTTGTTCTCGATATCATGAGCTGATGTCCAATTTCTTTCACCGAAAACAATGTTACCCATGCCACCTTGATCGTGCTTCTCTTGTCCGATCCCTACATCCCTAGCCCGTTCCAAATGCAAACGCAGCTGTACGAGATGGACTGACGACCGCTTCGTTGCTCGTTTCACTCATACTCATAGTATGAGGTGATGTCCCTTGCCTAGACCACTCTAACCCCTGTTTCCCCCCTGGTTCGTGGGCATAACCATCATCACACGACCTCCAGCTTATCCCGCGTCGCGACCTGGAGCTCCCCGAGCTTGTGTGGGTCCTGCTCTAACACGTCATTGCCCTTTGGCGTTTGCTCCTTGTGTTTTGGTGGCTTTTTAGTGTCACATTTGACCTCCACCTCCGCAGTTCAACGCCGACACAGCTATGAACTCAATAAGCCCAGGATGGCATCTGGTTATCATCAGTGATCAATTCAGTTTCACTGACTTTCCCTAACATTTTTGAAAGGCGACCAAAACAATTGAATTAAATAGAGAGCTCCTAGTCTTTTTGGTATTTTCTTAGGGTTCCTCCCGCTCATCAGTCAAATACATTAAATACATAAATATTGGTCTCAATCAGGGCCATGCCTGAGCCCCTCATAAACTCTTAATTCGTACAAGCCGGCAATCAATGCCAGGGATCTTAGACGTCGAGACCGTCGACGACAACGCCCTTGTTCCAGGTCCACTGAAGTCTCCTGGCCACCTCCAACGCAGTAAAGTCATCAATCATAGCGCTGACAAGATACAGGGCTGCATCAATGCCAGAGCTGACACCTCCGGATGTGACCACCCGGAGCCCACCGAGTCGCATAGCTGCGCGGCGTACAATGGATTCACGGCGGGTGTTGGAATCCTTGAACGACATGCTTCCCTTTCTGTGTGTCATCATAAGTCAGTTTAACTGTCTCAAAGCCAATGCATGACAGAGTGGGGTATAGATGGACCACTCTCCATGTGTTACGTACCGGGCTGCTGAAGGGCGGCGTCCCTGGCCAGCATCGGACTTGCGGCGGATGTATGGGCTCTCGTCTTCGCCGAGATCGAATCGAAGGTTGTTGACGACGTAGCGAGCGTCCTCAACCACATCGGTGCGTTCTTGAAGGTTCACAGTCGCAGCATCGCTGCAAATGTTCTCAAAGGTGGTGAGATAGTCGGGGTGGGTAGTGGCAGACAGGCCAGAGAGGATACCCTGCTTGCCAAGGAAGAGGGCACCTGTGCAGATAGAGAGGATGGTACGCTCGCGGGCAGGGTCACGCTTCTGAAGCTCCGAGAAGTCGGTGATGAGAGAGAGGGGTTGGAGCTCTTTGGCGACGACCTCCTTGGAGTTGCCGCCGACGACGACGAGGATGTCAAAGTCCTCAAGGCGCTCGTGAGCCTCCTTGTAGGAAATCTGGGAGCCAACGACAACGCCCTGGTCGGAGATGACCTTGGGCTCAGGACCGACGATGGTGACCTCGAAGGCCTTGTTGTCTACATGAAGGGGAAACGTGATCAGCGGGAGGGGTAAAGCAAATGAATGCACCGTACACCAAAACGAGGGGTATGGACTAGTATACAGTGAGATAGAGGATACTTACTGTCAGGGTCCTTGAAATCGTGTGAAGCAGTAGTAAAGACCTCGAGCGCGCCGGCAAAGTCCAGAAGATCGAACTTTTCGTGAATGGCGAAGAGAACGTCAACGGGCTCCTGGTCAGCGATGGCCGAGGTCTTCTGCGCACTCATCTTTGCGGTATTGTTGGGGGTTTGGAAGAGGGTAATAGCTGAGGAAGAATTGTGACGTGTGTTGAAGTCAAGTTGTAGAAGTAGACGAGCACTGAAAGGAGATGCTAGCTACCACAAAAGAAGAGGTTACTGTTGTTGTTGCCGAGTTGGTTTGTAAGTGATCTGGATAATGATGAGAAAGGAAGGAAAGGAGAAGAAGATGAGGAAGAGCAGGAGGGCCGTTTTAAGTACAGCAAGGAATGTTATGTGGTTGCTTTGCCCTGAGTCTTTCCCCTCATCGATTGACGACTCAGGAACTGCAACCACCTCACCTCACCTCACTTCACTCAATCAATCAAGTCCCGTCCCTTCCCTTCCCTTCCTGGCCCAAAGTTGAGTGGCTCGATTTCTAGGTCAGAAGGACTCTGAGTCTGGTGTGATCATTACCCACAAAGTCATGGTACGGTCTCGTCTGCAGCTAGTATCAGGAAACTGCGGGGTTACTAGCGCGGCGGGGCTTTCCCTGAGGTTCAGGGTACCGCCGTTGGGCTGTCTCTATTGATGATCGGACAAGTAGAGGGGACCATGTCGGGATATCAAGCTGTGACCGATCAGCTTTCTGCCGGCCCCGCTCCCTGCCGCAACCCCCCAAACTCATTTTCGCTTAGACCATCACTAAAGCGTTAGCCTCTGGACGACCCCCTGTGGCTCGAGTTACAACCGCTGTTTTCAGTGAAGTCGCTGGTCGCCGAATGCTCTTCCAGCGAACGGGGGTTCCACTCGTAAGCGCCACAACTCGCACCACCTTAAGAATGGTGCAGCGAAAGGCAAGGTACCGCCACGGCCAGCCGCGCCGCGCCGTTACCTATTTCCAAAAATCAGCTGCCTGTCCTAGATACTGTCACCGAATAGCTTCACCCGAATTACATTTCCAACAGCTCCAGGTCCCTGGCTCGATATCCACACTTCTAAGGGCCTCACCATCTCGGTCTGCTCACCTTGAGTCTCACGAGCTCGAATGAGGCCGTCGAGCCCGGCATGGCTTCATCGGCGTACGTCACCTCGTCCCCTGCAGAAAACTCCATCTCCAGAACGTCGCCGGCTTGAGCTCCCCTCACACAACGGCTCATCCCTCATGATCTTCCATCCCATCCCCTCCTTTGGATCCTGCGACATTCATCTCCATACGTCAAATATTTTACGCTGTCCGCTGACAATTATCTCCACTGTTTAGGTCACTAAAGGACCTCTCCAAGGTGATCGTCGCCTTCCTCGCTGAGCCAACGGCTTCGCTGCCCGACGACTTGGAAAAGATCATTGATGCCTACCTCCACCGACACCAGAAATATGATGACGCTTCAGCAGATCGCTTGCAGGAAGAGCTCCTGTCTATTTTTGACAAGCACGTCAAAGACAAACCTTCAGCCTTCGCACCCTTTCTGAACATCCTTCGTCAACTGCTCTCGATACTTCGAACTCCCGAGCGGATATTTGCTTGGTGGGACTCGTGCTCTGCGCTTCTAGCCAAGTCATCTCCCGAGAAAGGGGTTGTGGAAGCGTCACTGGCGAATATCATGGAGATCATATCAATTGCGGAAGAAGATCATGACGGTTCTGATTCTGACCTTTCCTCCAACCCACTCATTGACCGCCTGTTCACAGGATGGATGGAGAAGCTTTACCCGTCTGTCGCCGAAGCGCTCTCAAGCCTTGAGGCTAACGAGAGAATCACGCGGGAGGCTCTTGTGCCGTTCGGGAAGAAGCATCCCAAGGTTAGTCATATATGCCCAACTTGTATTGACCACGCAGTCTTCTGACCTGAACAAGGAACTTTTCACTGCTCTTGATCGTTATTTTGTGAAGAAACAATACCGCAAGGCTGTCCTGCGCTTCTTGGGCGACTATCTTCAAAGTCAACCTCCTCACGTTCACCAGATTCTACAAACACCACTATTTGCTGATATTTTAAAATGCCTACAACATGATAGCTCAACGACCATAGTGTCAGCCGCGCTGACAGTTGTCATCATGCTACTTCCACAGATGCCAAGCTCACTAGTTCCGCATCTACCTACGCTGTTCAATATCTATGCAAGGCTATTATTCTGGTCAAGAGAACGGGCTGGCGTAGTTGAGCCTCAGCCAGAGGATGCAGATTCATCCAATTGGGAAGAATGCAGTTATGAGGCAGAGGTCGATGATCACCCTGTCTATCACCTCCTTAACTACTATACCATTCTTTATGGTCTTTATCCCATCAACTTCATGGACTATATTCGCAAGCCTCAGAGATATCTACGTCACGCCAATGTTGCAAATGCCAACGATATGGAAGTTCAACCTACTGAAATTCGGGACCAATCAGAAAGATTCCGGCAATGCCATTTACTTCACCCAAACTTCTTCACCCTTACGATTGATTCGGAAAAGACGGATTTTGGCCGCTGGATCAAGAGCGAGGCCTCGGAGGTTGTTGCTAAGTGCATGGCGTTGTGTCTCGCAAACGATTCCAACCAGTCTTTCGGGCAGCCATCGTCTCTAT